CCAAATGCAGCCCTGACACCTCAAAACTCAAGTTGGATCTGCCAGTTTTATGAGAACCAGTATCACTTTGCTACTCTGTACGACAGGAAAGAGCGTATTCCTGTGTACTCTGCTTATATCTACCAGCCTGGAGATGGAGTCAGACCTAGCAGATGGCTGGTTGAGCCCCAGGTGAGTGTCCTCCCTTACAGCACATCACCATGCAGAACTGCAGAATTTAATCAAACACTTCCTTTTTCTACCACCACCCCAACCCCCAACACACAAACGGACCCACTGGATAGGTTTCATCTCACCTAACTTCAAACACATCCACCACACAATTCCTCTGGTGTGTCTGAGACATCAGCAGGACAATGAGATGAAGCATATCTTAAAAGCATTTATCTTTACTCATTGATCTTATAGGAGTATTAAGGGAAGTTACGTTACTTTACTTTACAATACAGAGTCAAATGAACTTCTCCCTTGTCCTCTGATGGGGATGAAATTATGGGGAAAAGACACAAAACAGCAGCTAAATTTGAGGGACCAGCTCTGCTGGGCTCTGATCTCCGTTTCATCTTGAGCCTTTTTGGATCCCCAACATAGTTTATTCACTCCCAGTAAAGCATCAATTTGGCTTTACAAGTGACATGAGAGAAGCTTAGATAACCTCAGACTTGGGTGAGATGACCCAGAGAAAAAGTCCAGGTACAGGCACTCAGGAATGAGAGGGTTGGATTGACATGATGAATTTATTGAGTGATATTTGAGGCAGTGAGAAGTGACCAGGATCAGTATCAGTCAAGTCAGAAGTGGATGATCTCCATGCAGCTGCAGTTGTCCCTTACCAGTCTTGCCTCAGGCTTGGTTCTGATTTACTTCTGCAAACTACAGAGGCAATCTAAAATGTTCTTCTGGCAAACTTGAGACTCAGTGAAAAAGCTCAAGGTAATTATGGAACAGCAGCAGCAGAAATTCAGGTCATTGCTAGCTTCACAGGAGCAGTGGGGAATGTAGCTGCAAAGGAGCCAAAGAAGAAATCCATATGCCCAGTTCCAGGGAAGGCAGAGGTTCCCAGGGAAACCTCACCTCTAGGATCATTTTTCCAACACATCTTTCTTTGTAGGGGTTTTAAGAAACTGTATGAAATCAGGCATTTCATACACTTGAGATGAAAAAAAATGGTTGGTTGACACTCAGAGACTTCTGTTCTAGGAAAGCTTGCTCCATGACTCCCATCACCAATACTAATGTCTTCTCTTCTTTACCTGTCAAGCTGGTGGGTCCAAATTATCCAAAAAATATGGAAAAAGAGTCGACCCTCTTAAAGAACTTCAGTGTAAGCTTAGAGCAACTCAGCAACAGCCAAGCTATCCTGCAAGACTACAAGAACCTGACAGGCTTAGAACGTGGTCATCTGAATCCCAGTGGCCATCATAACAACTCCAGCAGCAGGAGGGCTACCTTCACCCTGACCAACATAGTGCCTCAGGATGCAGAACTCGGTGGAGGAGCTTGGAAGAACTACGAGCAGCAAACGATGATGAGAATGACCAAGGACTGTAAAACCACCTATGTCGTCACGGGTGCTGTGCCTGGGAAAAAATATATAGCCAACAGAAGAGTTAATATACCCAGTTACATCTGGTCAAGTGCCTGCTGTGAGGTGGATGCCAACAACAGGAAGGCCTGGGGGCTCATTGCTGAGAACAACAAGAATGCAGTCGAGGAACTCAGTCTGCGGGAGCTGGAGGAGAGGTTGACTGACCTGTATGGGAATGGCTCAGTTTCCCTCTTCCACAGAGACTGTCCTCGGGACTAAGCTCCACTTCACATCCTGGATGCAAAAGGCCCAGGAGCCATCAGCACGAGCAGCTTCACCTTTGCAGCATCTGTCCTGCTTCCTTCTCTAGTGCTTTTCCAGCTCTGTCTCTCTGAGCACCTTCCCCCTGAAGAAAGGGAGAAAGAGGTCAGCAGAGCCTCCAGCTGCTTTGCTTCGCTGCCTGTCCTTGGAGAGAGCTCTCAGGGAGGAGTCCTTGCCATGGCCACTTTGGAGGAGCAGTTTGGGTAACAGCCCATGAGCAAGGAAATCAGAGGTTGTCACTGAGACAAGAGGGGCTTTGCCTTTTCCCCCTTTTTTCTCCATGCCCATACACAGATTGGAGTTCCTTGCTGTCCTGGTTAGGTATCCTTGAAAATGGCCTGCTGACTTGTCCTCACCTGTTCAGAAAGGCTATGGGTCTATGGTGGGAAAATGGGCCAGAATCATCCCAAATTGATGTGCTTATCTTGTATCAGCTTGGGAATAGGGAAGCAGGCTAAGTTAGTGCTCTTCTTTCTTCCTGAAAATGAGCAGGGGCCAAGGATGAACCACTGGCTTCTCAAAGCCAAGATCCAGTCCAGATGTTGGAAGCTTCTTACACCCTGGCAATTCAGAAATGTTGTGACCCCAGTAAATCTCATGACTGCTGGGATAGAGTAGGGGTTCCTGTAGCCAGATGGTTTTTCAAACAACAGCCAGAGGCAAAGATGGACAGCCAGAGTTGTGCCAACATGGCTGAAAAGGAGTCCATACCTGTAGCAAGGGTTGGTTATGCTTCCTCCCCCACCCCTGCTCATTGGTAGCACCAGCAGCCTGCTAGGAACCATTCAGCACACACGATATCAGCAAGTCACCCTTTGTCAAAAACTTTATGCTCTTTAGCCTTTGGAATCATCTGTTGTTGAGGAGAAGAATCTCAACTATTTCTGGACAGGTCAACATGTCCAGGCCTCTCTCCTCCCCAGGCAGGGACTCCTCCTTGGTACAAAGTTGCTCCCTCCTCTGCTTTGTGAATGATACCCTGGGGAATTGTTACTGTAGTTTAACTAATTATTTAGCCAGCTCTGAGACATTTAGTGCCAATGCAGTGAGTTTATTTACCAACAGCAGTTCCAAGCATGTTATATCTGTGGCCTTAATAAAATACCTACCTTTGCAACTTTGCAAACAGGACCCTTTCTGAACCTCCTGACTCACTGGGAGGGCTTTCCTCAGCCACCTTGCAGACTCATACCCTTTTACACAACAGTCTCAGGTGGCTGAGGTTGCCCAGAGAGGTTGTGGAGTCTCCATCTCTGGAGATACTCAGACACTCACTGGACACCAACCTCAACAATTCCTAGGATTGTAGGATCATCCTAGAAATACACTCTGAGCAACACAGCCAGTGACCACAGGAGAGAGGAAGGTGGAAAGGAGAAAGACAAGTGAGCAGAGGAGGAACAACCCTGTTCTCTTGAATCTGTTTGTAGGAAAAAAGAAAAAAGTAAGGAAAGAAAGAGCATACTTGAATCACTGGTCTCCCTCACATGAACTCATGTGAAGACCAGGCTCATGTACATTTACTAGTGGGTCTTGGTTTGCTTCCTTTTAGACCATGTGCCTTGAAAGCATGAGCTGAGGTGACAGACAACCCTGCTCAGGGATCAACATGGTACAGCAGGTTTTGTCCAGTCAAAAGAAATACACCATGATACACTGGTTGGATAGTCTCATTCTGTGCTCTGCTTCTGAACCCCTTCTGCAGATTTATGGATCATTGACTTTGCACAATATATATAATGAGTGTCAAAGATCAATGTCTGCAAAATAATTCAATGTCTGAGGAATTTACAATATGAATTATTTTTCTCCAATGCTGATCACAATGTTATCTTCCATGTAATCCACATATTTCAGGAACCTCTGGGCCAGGCCAAGAGTGAGGGGAGAAGAGAGAAGGTTACAAGTACAACAGGGTCAGAGGAAAGTTAGCTGGAAAGCATCAGCTGGAGGACACAAGTTCAACTTCCTGATTGAAGTGGAATCACAGTCAGCTCTGAATGGGCTTAGCTGTGATTTCACCCAGCTAAGTCTTGAGCCACCTCCACAATTCATCCCTTCTCATTTCCCAGCAACCTGTCTCAGTGCTGTGCTACCTGCCTGGAAGCAATTTTTTTTTGTCCTGATGTCCAATCTTCACCTCCCAAGCCACAGCCTGTGGCTGCTGCCCTTGGTTATAGTGTCTGGCTCTACACAATAGAGTTTGTCTTTGCTATGGTTGGTCTTTGGATGAGCTCTAGTCAGCTAGTAGGCTGCCCTTCAGCCTCCCCTTTGCCAGACTCAACAAGCCTGAATCCTTCTATCTGTTTTCCTAAGCTGCATATCCCATGATTCTGACCACCTTGGCATCATATCTGGGATTGTTGTCAGTTATTAACTCTACAATTTGGGGGAAAAATCACATTTGGGAAAAGATCACATTTAAGAGAATATAAGGGACACACGGAATAAAACCAAGGCCTAGGTAACAGTGAATCAGTAAGAATTAGACAAAAAGATACTCCACTTTGAGAAAAGCACACCCCAAATAGTCAACAGCCTAGCCTTGAGACAGACCTACAGGACACCTGCAAAACAGATGAAAGGGACGGAGAGAAACACTTCCCAAAGCTTATCTTGGTTACAGCCTTGAGCACTGGGGAAAAACAACTTGAGTAATTGAAATCACCATATTAATACATTAATGAGCCATTAGCATTCTGAAATTCACAGCCACAGGCCAGAGGGACCCCTACTAACAACAAACCCCTTACTCTTCCAGCATGTGCAATCAAAGTCTTGAGCATTGCCACTTTAAATGGAAGCAAGGCATTAGCTGCCCAACTGTGTGTGCCCGTGATCGAATAATGTTAGAGATAAAGTTCTTCCTCACATTTTCTGGGGTAGAAAAGTAGCACTTGTGTTTCAGGAAACTGAGATTGCTTTGTGGAATACTACTCTTTTCTGCACAGAACTGGATATTAAAGCAAATATCTTGACTCTGTGTGTGGACTGGCTTCTTGTACGCCAGGTAGCAGACCCCACTTTTGGGACAAGAGCATCTCCAAACCAGCCAAGCCTCCACAGGATTTGGGAGCCCACCTACACGGTGAAATCCTGGGCCCTAATAGACAACCATCTTCCAAGAGCAGAAATCAAAGGAGGCTTAATAAAGAAGTTGTGTTAACAAGTAAAGACATACTCTTACAACCATACCTGGATGAAAACACAACATAGATCAGTTTCCAAACTGCGCTTCCGCTCTTGTCTCCCAATTCCCCTACGCTTCTGCTATACCTGTGCCTCCCATCCAGTTGTTAAGACCCTGACATTATATGCAATAAATCTTGATTGCTGCTTATATACCTTTTGTCTGTCATGCGTTCTGTCCAGGACAGTAGCGTCAGTGGCATGATGTGATGATGAAAAACATTACTCTGCAACAGGAAGCTCAGTACTGGTGATCGGGGGGCCAGGAGGAGCTGCACTTCGCTGCTGGTCACTTCTGAAGTGGCTCTAACTCCTTCATATGCTGCAAGTATCTCCTTTTCTGTTGACATGCAGTTGGTCTCAGAACCTCGGTAGCTTCAGCTCCAGAATCCCAGGGGCTGACCTTGAGTGTCCCCTGGTATTTTCTGCCAGAGGCTCCAGTTGGGACTGTTGTGTCCGGCTGCGGTGTAGAGAACATTCTTGATGTCTGGCCCTGTTCAAACTGATCCAAGGGCCACTGACTATACAATCTCCTTTTTAATCTTATCAAAAGCTTTCTGTTGGTCAGGACCCCATTTAAAGCCACTCTTCTTTTGGATCACCTCATAGAGAGCTTTCACAATTTCACTGTTACATGGAATGTGCATTCTCCAGAAAACAACAGTCCCTGAAATGACTTGAGAGTGCTTTTTGGTAGTTGATTGGGCCATAGCTGTTATTTTTGTCAATCTCATCCACTGGGACCTGGCAACGTCCATCTTGACATCTAATTCCTGGGAGCAGAATCTCTTGTGTAGGACCTTGTCTCTTTTTACAGCAAAACCAACATCCAGAATAATTGGGATGATTTTTTTACCTTCCTCAAAGACTCATTCTGGTGTGTCACCCACACAATGATGTCATCCTTGTACTGCAGGTGTTCTGGAGCTCCACCCTTCTCCAGTGTAGTGTGGACCAGTCCATGGCAAATGGATGAGCTGTGTTTCCACCCCTGGGGCAGTCAATTCCAGGTGTACTGAACTCCCCTCCAGGTGAAAACAAACTCCACCACCTTGTCTTGTTGACCTGCCTTTCCTAAACAGGACACAGTTATCCATGACCACACTCCAGTCATGTGAGCTGTCCCACCATGTCTCTGTAATTGCCACCAGATCCCTGAATTCAATATGGTATGGAACACTTTGGTTTGCCAAATTTGTCCTCTGTCTAGTCTGCTCCTCCCTGTGGGAGGACTGCAGATACAACTCTTCTACTCCTTTAGCATCCAAAGTAGCAGTTTCAATAAGCAGAGCATAGTGTCTTGGTGTCTTGGCAGTAACATAAACATCCAAGTGCAATCAGTTCACTAGCTCTGAAACTTCCTGCTTAAAAATGTTCACTACAGAAAAAAAAAAAATCATTAAAAATATCCTGGCTCCATCCTGGCTCAAACCAGGACGTCTGTAGACAAAGTATCCCTGAAAAAAACAGAGCATGGGGAGCAGAGCCACCTACATCCCAGGGTTCTGTTTGTGGTGCTGAATGAGCATC